AAAAATTCAAAAATTATTTATCTATCTTAATGTTTTAATTAAATTTAAAAAAATAATTTTAATGTTGTGTATGACAATTGGCTTTTCTACTCCAAGTCTCTAATAGAGACTTCGTTGCCGACCAATATCTTAGACTATATTCTTTTTAATTTAATATACAAAACAAATGATTACCAATGGATACAATAATATTGGGTCAAAACAGTTAAATACCAAACTTTAAATTAACTATTAAAGAACATCGAGCACAAATTACTAAATAAAGCATGTTTACAGTATATGACCACAGAATTTATTTGGTACTGATCAATTCTTACATTTTAGGGTAGAGTGTTGCTTGAAATTTACTACACAATATTTAGTATAAAAAGTTAATCAACATTGTTATAATTTATACACCGATTTTGTGTTTTAATTGAAAATAATCTGTTATGTATGTTTAAAATCACTACAATATTGGCCTCAGCTTAAGGTGTGAATTTTGAGGTCATTAAAATAAATATTTTGGATATTATTTTTAAATATAAATTATAAAAAATAAATTGAAATCATCATTAATTTATTCGGATGACCAGAACATATCCACATTATTACGGCAATTGCCCACCTATACCCACACCCCCATCAATATATTGTAATTTAGTAAATAATCCAAAACTTTATTTGAGTAGAAATTCTTCGACGAGTCTCTTATAAGACGAGGAATAACTGGAGTGCAAGGCGTGGTTACCGGCGGGAAATCGGTGTAATCGGGCAGACTTTATGTGCTTTACAAAATATTCAGGGTGCTCTATAGTACTGATCGGGTCCTGAAATTAGGTGCATTCATATTAATTTATCAATATTTACAATAAATAATAGTAACAAATTCAAATGCAAATGTAATGATTACTATACATACGTTGTCGCCATGCATGACAAGAATGGGACAGGTGACTTTTGAATAATTGCTAATATTGATGTCCCGCGGGAAATACGAGGTAAAATAGTCGACAAACTTCAAGAATCTATCCCATAATTTCTGTAACTCCTCTTTGCTTTGATACGCGCGACGACAACTGTCGAGTCTCTCTTTAGGCCAATCCTCGACATTACGGGTCGACATCAATACAGACATCGTTTTTGGGGAAGGAGTGCCCAAAATGCCGTGAATTGCCATTTGTATGACAACATCGGGATATTTACAGGCCATCTATACGCCTGCAAACGCGCCTACAGACCAACCGATCACGTAAAATTTTTCAAAACCTAAATGCTAAATTATAATGTATCACGGTTAACAGGTTGCATTTTTCACATAACTTAATTAACAGTATTTAATTAATAGTATCTAACGTTAGTTACTAGTATTTACTAATATTTATTGTAACATATTTAAAATTATTACTTTCATGAGTTCATAATAACAGTCCGCATCGTTATTGTAGACATCCTCGTCATATTTGCGAGCGGGTGGTCGGGATCGGCCCCAACCGGGCGGGTCCACAGCGATGATGGTGAACTTGTCCTGATCTAACTGGTCGTCCCCTTCCAACTGTTCGTAAAAATCAGTTTTACCCGTGCCTTACGTTTCAATACAAAGCAATGTTATAAAATTTTTATAATTATATTATAGTAAGCAAAGGTTGCATACCGAGAGCACCGGGTATCATAAGCACAGGTGACGAACCGGTGCTATACCTATCGTACCTAATTGGGTAACCATTAATAGTAAACGATTCGCTCGTCATAATAATAATCCGGATAATAAATAGTCAACAATTGTCTAATTCAACAAATTATTTTTCCCTATAAACTCCCTGAATATCAAAAATGAATAGAAGTGCATGCAGCATTTACGGTAATGCGTAAATAATGAAACTAATTAATATGTAAACAGTAAAACTAAAAGTTTTAATTTTTACGGATTTAGGCGGTCACCAGTACTATACCACTACTGTTTTGCTATCAAACGTCAAATTTTGAATTTTTAATTAAAGCAATTTGTGATTGGTGTTTTTTAAATTATTTTCTCATGTGAAAGCAAAAATTTAAGAATAACTTATAACAGCATTTTGTTGCCAAGTATTTAATAAATTGAATAAATTATTTTAAAATTTATACGATTTAAGTTAATTATTTATTCAATAGTCATTTATATTTAAGTGTTGTCTTAGACTCTATACTCACAACAGAAACAAAACTGAATTTAAATGTTTCTGGAAATATGTATTAATGTACGCTATTTCATATTGGTTAATTGTTTAATTACTGTTATAAGTTAAAATATTATTTAATTTCGCCAAAATAAATGTCTTCAGAATACCATCATGGTAAGCAATAAAAAGTTTTATTTAATTGGAAAATTGTAATTATTATTATTTCTAACGTTTTCATAATGAAGTTATTTATTTCAAATAATTTTCTAATATTTTATAACTTATTTGAACATTTTATAACCTTTAATACAGCTTTAGTTACGCAATGTATTAATACTTAATTGTCAAAAATTTTTGGAGGTAACGAATAACTTTCACCATTAAATGCCTATTACATAATTTTAACTAGGTGATTCAAATGTAATAAGTTAATCATGGACCATTGAATCATGATCATCCCATTTAATAAGCACGATAAAAATTTATAATTAAATTATTGTTTATTTGCTATTAATTGTTGAGCAAATAATAAAAATGACTGCAAATTGAATCTCTAAATAAAATACAATTATTATTAATTATAAACCAATGTGATCACTAATTGTGATCATCAACTAACAAAGTCAAGCTAAATAACAATGACACTCATCTATAAGTTTAGTAATGTTGCATAAAAGTTATAATTATATGATATAATAAACTTATTTATAAAATAATTTGCATAAATATTAATGTTACTGAATTATTATTAATTATTTTGTATTGTAAAGAGGAATTTAATAATAATATTTAGCCAAATCATTAAAATTACATTATATCTAATAAATTACTATAGGATTACATCATATTTTGTAATGAATTAAATTAATAAATTAATGGATTATAATATTTTTATAATAAAAAAAATTTATATAAAAGTTTATATAAATTTATATCTTTTGTGATAAATTATTATGGATTAGTTTATTAAATAACAATTAATACAAAGCAATTGTTTATGATTAATTTATAACATTTTATTTTTAAAAATATAATAAACCTATTTAAACAATAATAATATTAATTACCTAATTTAATTGTCTGTAACTTATTATAGAAATGGCATTTTGTTTAAAATACAATTGAGATCTAATGTAAATACAATATTTCAAAAAATATAATGTTTTAAGGAAAATCACTTTTATTAAAAGGTCGTTAACTTTAACTATATTTCAAAAATGTATTCAAAATTACATTTAATTTCAAATTTTCCTCATTTCGCAAACAACTAGAACTATAATAAAAATAATCCCAAATATGAGCTCAATCTATCAAATAGCGTTAATCGGTTGGGTATTTAATGTTTACAATTTTTATTTTATTTTTAAATTCTTATCTATTTATCTTTGAATAAAAATAAATGTTTACACATTTTATAAGAAATGTTTGTCGATATAAATAATCCAAAACTTTATTTGAGCAGAAATTCTTCGACGAGTCTCTTATAAGACGAGGCATACCTGGAGTGCAAGTCGTGGTTACCGGCGGGGAATCGGTGTAATCGGGCAGACTTTATATGCTTTACAAAATATTCAGGGTGCTCTATCGTACTGATTGGGTCCTGAAATTGATTGCAGTTATATTAAAATATTACTAACAAGTAATCATAATGTAAAACATAATGGTTATTAGTAATAACTTATTACACATACCCTATCGCCATGCATGACAAGAATGGGACAGTTGACTTTTAAATACTTGCTAATATTGGTGTCCTGTGGGAAATACGAATTAAAATAGTCAACAAACTTCAAGTGTCTGTCCCATAGTTTTTGTATATCTTCTTTGCTTTCGTACGAACGAAGACAGTTGTCGAGTCTCTCTTTAGGCCAACCCTCGACATTACGAGTCGACTTCAATACATATATGGTTTGCGGGTATAGAGTGCACAAAATGCCGTGAACCGCCATTCGTGTGACAACACCGGGATATTTGCAGGCCATCCATACGCCCGCAATCGCGCCATCCGACCAACCGATCACGTGAAATTTTTCAAAACCTAAATGCTATATTAATAATGTTAATTAATATATTGCGTTTTCCATAATGTTTAATTTACTGCTACAGTATATTTAATGTAAAACATTTAACAGTTATTACTTTCATGAGTTCATAATAACACTCCACGTCATTATCGTATAGGTTTTGATCATATTTGCGAGCGGGTGGTCGGGATCGGCCCCAACCGGGCGGGTCTACAGCAATAATGGTGAACTTGTGCTGATCTAACTGGTCGTCCCCTTCCAACTGTTCGTAAAAATCGGTTTTACCCGTGCCTTACGTTTCAATACAAAGCATTGTAACATTAAATACAATTTACAAACAAATTAAATATAACTTAATTTACATACCGATAGCACCGGGTATCATGAGCACAGGTGACGGGCCGGTGCCATACCTATCGTACCCAATTGGGTAGCCGTTAATAGTAAACGTCCCGCTCGTCATAATAGTAACACTTATGTATTGAAAATATATAATCAGTACAATCAAAATGAAAACATGAACAGCAAAACAACTGAATAAATTTTGAGGTCAATTGTAACATAAAAAAGTAACATTAATTTACTAAATAACAAAACAAAGTTTTTTTTTTGAATGGATTCAGGCGTTTGAATACCAGTTGTGTTTTGCTGGCAAACTTCAAATGATTGCAGTATTAGCTAATTATGTGCAGACTTTCCTCTATTGAAAAACTAGTCTTTCGTAACAATATTTAACACACAATTTGTTATACTGTATGTGAAAAGCGTATGAATTTATGAAATCATATTTGTCTACCAATCGTATGATTTTTTGTCTGGCGTTGATTATCGCAATACTTTTATCATATTATAGTTATTTTGTCTCTGCATTATAATTACGATATAACTTTACATGACAAAAATCCCAACAAAATTATATTTTCAAATTACAATTATTATATTTAATATATGCTTATTTTTAGCATTTATTTTATTGCTAATAAATTTAATGTTGAAAATAATATGTCAATTAATTTAGGTTTTATACAATTATAAAATTGATTAATTTCAAGGCATTATTTAAATATATTTAAATAAAAACTTGATAAATACAATTTAAAATAATATAAATCTCTGCAATTTTAAGTTTGTTAAAATCCTTCGCTGAATATCATCATTAATCAAATATTTGTCTGATAAGAAATATTTAAAAAGTAATTCAGAATTACTAATTCTCATTAAAAGCATTGTATTATAAAATTAAAAATTAATTATTACAAAATTTATCGAAAGTCATTGCAATCTTTGAGAAAGTGTTCGGTTACTCTCATAAATTCAGCCGGATATTTGTGATGGCAGTTATGGGCACCCCTTTTAAATCTATGTAATTGACAGTATTGCACGTTTTTCTCCACGTGTAACGGATGATCCAAACTACACAACGGGTCCTATAATAATACACATACTGTTAATTACACTCGTTATACAAATGACAATATATCACAAACCATATCGCCGTGAAATAGTAGGACCGGACACATGATATTCTGGAGCTTATTAGTGACGTATCCGTTGGGAAAGGCAGCGGCATATACTTTGCAAAAGTTGATATACCCGTCCCACATGGCCTGCACCTCATCGCCATAAACGGGCACATAGTTGTCGCGCACCTCTTGGGGCCAAAGACTGGTGTTCTGCGTGGCCAGAGTCGGGGCCACAGTTTGGGGCGTTATCTTCACGAAGATGGAGATCACTAACAAAAATAACACCAAATATTAATCTCGATTCTGGCCATCGATTAACCAAACAGTTCACACATACGGACGAGTCCTTTAACGCGGGGCTGATTTTTAAGGCACATATGTATACCAACTTTTCCGCCCTCCGAGAAACCGATCACAGAAAATGATTTGTAACCCAATGACTGATCAAACGATACAATTAATTGTAATTTACAATACAATTTATAATATAATTGTGTCAATTAATTACATCCATTAATTTGAAAGCCACGTCCGCGTCGTTATTGTAGACATTTTTGTCGTACTTTCTCTCAGGAGGTCGGGATCGGCCCCAACCGGGAAGCTCTATGCATACGAGCGTATATTTTTCTTGATCAAAAGCGTGATCGCCCTCCAATTGGGGCAAAAAATCACTCCTCCCGGTGCCTGTATAACCATATTTAATTTTTATTTTGTATTCATTCAATTTCACATAATATAGTAATGTTTGACATACCGATAGCACCTGGTATTAAGAGTAGTACTTCAGAACCCGTACCAAACTTTTCGTACCAAACGGGCCAACCATTGATGTCTACCTTTCCGCTCGTCATATCTCTGGTTATTATTCTGAATATTAATTATTATAATATATGTTAAATACAATTAAAAGTGAATACTATAAGTTCCACTCAAATGCCACTTGAAAAGTGTTTCACCAGTTTTACTGATCGTAACACTAAAACGCAAACTAAATATACATGTATTTAACGGCAACTCTTATGAACAACAAAAAACCAAATCTAAAACAGGTTTTATATACTTTTTAAATAAGTTTTGTGCAATTCTCTTGTCCTAAACAATCAATAAATATACATCTACTGGAATTTACATTTCTTACTAGTTAGAATTGCATTAATAATATTTCATTATGATCTGCTCAACAAAACAATTTAAAACTAAAGTAATTTTTTTGGTGAAAAATACCCAAATGCTAAAATGTTTTTAGATTTACACGCATAATCATTATAAATGTTTTGTTTATTAATAAACATGATAATTTAATCAACATTCATATAGCACATGCCAATATTTATAGACATTTAAAAATGATATGGTTAACTGCTTTAAAAGTAAAAATACTTTAATTGCTAATTATGTGATAAGAGTAATAAAATTAACGCTAAATTAAGCAAATGAACTGAAAAGTAAATGTCAATAAATTATTTAAAATAATTTCAAATTCATAGCAATTTATACATTATAGAGATTTTCGCGTATCATTTCTATTATAAATTGAGCAGATATATAAAGAATACCAATAAAATAAATGTAGCAAGGATATTTCATTGATGTTGCAATAATGCAATAGGTAATATTTTTAAAAATAGAAATTAATAACTTTTTTAAAATGCACATTAATATTGATGAAATACATGCTGATAAAGCAATAAAATGAATAATCTCAATTTAAAAATGCTAACTAAACGGGGATTTTACCAAAACCATCAAGTTTTAATATAGATAAATGATATGAAATTTTATGCATTGTTGGATTCAGTGATAGTTTATATGATATAAATTATATCATAATAAGTAAAATATACTTTAACCTGGCGCAAATATTTCCCCAATTAATTATGTTGCATAATTAATGTTGCTAATTTATAATTATGATATAAGAAACCAAGCACTTTCCCACGCTTAAACTATTTCATAAGTTATCTAAGCTTTTTGAACGTGTTCAAATTGGATTGACAAATATTGTCTAACTCTATGAATAACTTACACCACTTAATAAACAGCCAATTAATTAATAATTAAATAGAAATCTAAATCAAATAAAGCACACAATTAGTGATGAGCCAAACACTGATCGATCCCATTGTTAGCCAATGGGACAAACGTTGCGACCCTAACAATGCGCTCATCACTAGTATTGGCACTGATTTGCATAACAAGCGATACAATTATGTATGCATTTGTCGCACGTCTTATGTGAACAGCGGATGGCTTTTGATAATCACATGAATTAATCACAACTCCGGAAGTGATTCACGAAATACAGTCACACCAGTCATAGCAGTCATACCATTGCCCGTGATTTGCGTTTTGACCGCAAGATTATAGCTTATAATCAGCACGTGTTATGTCAGATAAGGACATCTTTATATCGACGCTGACCTTCAGTGTCGCCCAATTCGTACTTCTTGTGGTCTTTTGTTTGTACGTCTACTTCAAGATTGTTCCCATCTTAAGAGGTTTGCATTCAATGCATTCAATCCATTCATTCGCCCATTTGTTTAACTTGTGGTCAAATTTGCAGATAAATTGTCGAAATCATTGGAAACAATAGGTTTACAAACGGACGCCGAGTCGAAGAGGTCGGCGCCCATCATGTCGTCCACTCCTAAGACGAGCGTTGATCCGGAGTTGGCGTTGGATGACGAGTACAAGAAGTGGTCGTCGCGTAAATCCATCGAGGGATTAATTGTTGGATTAAAAACTCCATCGAAAAAGTCGTTGTCGTCTTTGAGTGCGGCCACCGAACCAGAAATCGCACGCAACGGTGTGGCCAATAATGGATCCGATAAGGCGTCCAACGGTTTGCCGACAATCGAAGAACACGCGGAACCGTTAGTGAAGAGCCAACACTCGCTGTCAACCCTATCGGCGATAACACCGAAATCGGCGCCCAAACCGGACGTGGACTCGACGGCCATCCGAATGGCCGACTTCTACAACCAATACCGGTTCGGCGGTAGCGTTGAGGCCGTGAACCCTATGAGCGCCACAATCAGTGATAATAGTCTGTTAAGCGATACGAAGAGTGAAATCGAGTCACATTTAGACCAATCTTTCGACGGACTGATGGAAGAAGTGGAGAATATGAATGAACAGACCCTTCGGTACTCCGACTCAGACTAGTCTTCCGATCATTAATTCCTAATAACTAAAACCCGAAACCATTTAAACATTTTTCATATTTTTTGATCTTTCATTTTATTTCAAGAATTCAATCAACAGTTTTTTTATTACAAACAAAATCCATAGAAATCTCAAACATTTTTCCGATTTTAAAAATAATTGCTTTAAAACAAATGCCAAACATTTTCTCAAAAACTAATTTATTATAGATTTGATCATAACTTTAAAAATTTAATATTTATATAATAAATGACAGCAAAAATGTGAACAAACGTTAATTATTTGATTAATTAATTACTTAATGATTGTAATTAATCATTGAAACCAAAATTAAGGTCTAATTAAGTGATGAAATGGCATATAAGAGGTAATGAAATATCAAAGTATGGATTAAAAGGCGTATAAATTAAACGAAAAATAGCGGCCATTGGATTGTAGGGTCGGATGTGTTGTTTAACGGCGTTTGCGGCCACTCTTAGTCTTAGTGGCCGAAGCCTTCTTCGCGGCCAACCGTTCGCGCACTTCAATCTCCGTAGGCGTCGGTACGTAAGCGTCCGAACGGGTGGCCGACTGTGCGGGCG